TTCGGGCTTCCTTTGAGGAGTAGGGCTTTGGGTTTAGGGTTCAGGGTTTAGGGTTCGGGCTTCCTTTGAGGAGTAGGGCCTTGGGTTTAGGGTTCAGGATTCAGGGTTTAGGGTTCGGGCTTCCTTTGAGGAGTGGGGTTTAGGATTGAGGCGGAGTCGAGGCTTCAGAGTTCGGGCGTCCTTTGAAGAGTAAGTTTAGGGTTCAGGGTTTGGGGTGCGGGCGTCCTTTTTCGGAGTGGGGTTTAGTAGGGTTTGGGGTTTTAGGGTTCAGGGCTTAGGGTTCAGGCTTCCTGTGAGGAGTAGGGTTTAGTAGGGTTTAGGGTTTAGGGTTTAGGGTTCAGGCTTCCTTCGAGGATTTTTGTAGGGGTGAGGGGTTTAGAGTTTGGGGTTTTCCGGCTTAATGTTTAGGGTTTAGGGGTTACGATGCGGGGCTAGAAGGGCTTGGGGGGTTATGGCCTCAAGCTTGCGCTTAGCTTTCGCACCTAGGCACGAGTACAAGCTCCTAGTTCAGAAAGGCTTGTGCGCTTAGGAATCGGTTCATCTCTGCATGTACTCTATAGAGGATAAGCCCAATGGACTATGAACGTAATGCTTTTCTCGGGAGCAGAAGTTACTTGTAGCTTTAAAGGGCTCTTGTAGCGTTCTGATACGGTTCAGGGATGTAGGGTCGGGAAGGTCTACGGCATGTCAGGGAGCGAGGACCGTACATGGGATAACCCATGCAATGAACGAAAACCCTAAGCACTAAGCTAAAGTTTCTTTACTGTTTCCCCCATTGCTGACAACAGCTGACAGTCCAGCTCGTCCTGTAGTCCTGATCCGACCCGAGAGACCTCCTCTAGCAGTGTCCAAGTTGCGAGAGCATAAACCCAAACAGACACCTCCCCTCTTTAACCGAAGCCACATGCTCTAGGCGGGTCCTCGCTGAAAGTCTTTTGGGGCTGTTGGGGTTTGATGCCATGCAGCGTATCATGTTCCATGGCCCTTATATCTAGCCCTACCAGTGACTAAGTAACCCCTCTAGAAGCCCTTAAAGAACCCTTCAAGGAACTCTGAAAGGAGCCCTGCTCTGACAATGAAGGCCCGTTTCTTTACAGTTGCATTTTGCCCTCCTGCTGGAGCCCAGAGCCGAAAAAAAACAGCCTAAACCCCTAAACTCCTAAACCCCTAAACCCTAAACCCCTAAACCCTAAACCCCTTAAGCCCCTAAACCCTAAACCCCTCACCCTTCAGCCCTGAACCCTTAAACTGCCCTGTACCCTAAACCCTAAACCCCTAAACCCTAAACCCCTCACCCTTCAGCCCTGAACCCCTAAACTGCCCTCTAGAAGTCCCCACTGAAGAGCGGCAGACCAGGAGGCTCCAGGGCGCCCCGTGCGAGGAAGTGCACCCGGCTGGCGCCTGAGCATGGGCCGAACCCCGTATAACCCTAAACCCTAAACCCTAAACCCTAATATAGGGGTTTAGGGCTTTGGGGTTTGGGGTTTTGGGTTTAAAGTTTTAGAGGGTGTAATGTAGGGGCCTTAGAACTGAGAATAGGGTTTGGGGTAGATTCTACGATAATTATCATAAGGAACCCCCCAAGACCCCCTGTTCTAATTATTAAGGCCCCTACATAAGGTGTTACCTGGTTTAGGGTTTACGTAGGGGGTTTCTTATCATAATTATAGTATCACAGGCCCCAAAACCCTATTCTAATTGGTGAGGCCCCTGTACTAGATGTTTCCTGGGGATCCAAAACCTATTGTTTTCGGGGATTATACCCTGTAATTATTAAGGGGTCAGAATGGCCATAAGGGCTTGGCGATACAGTTAGTACTGAGTTAGTACTTTATATAGGATTTCGCAAGGTGTTCACTCATGCTTATCGAGTTTGAGACAACTCAGCTGATTGTTACGGGATGTTCAATTTGAGCCAGAAGTCGGGTTTGTGATTAGTGTTTTGCAGGGGTTTAGAAGTCTTTTCGGTGGTTTTGTAAGGGTTCTCAAGGCGCTTTACGGATTATGGGGATAGGGTAGACATGCCATAGGTTCCAATGTTCAAGATTTTGTAGTTGGCGGGGGGCAGAGATTTCATGGTTGAGGCTTCAGGGTTTTTAGGGTTCCGGAGTTGGAAAAGCTTGCATCACCCAAGTGCGGCCTAAGTAGATCGTGCCGTGGGATCGAGCGGGAATTTCGAGCACACGGCTTCCGTTTCCTTACGGTGCGCTCTGAGTCAGGTCGTGATCCGTGTCGAGGAGCTGGCAGTACCACTATCCTTCTCGTCAGATTGAACCCGACATCCTGCATGCGAAAACCTAGAGCAGAAAACGCAAGCCCCCAAAGGTGCATCGGTAGAAAAGGGGGCCTAGATAATTACCACTACTATTTCGAGATACCTTGTCATAGTTACAGTACGACATACTCCCAAAAACCCTATTCTCATTCATTGTTGAGGCCCTACCCATAGGCCCCATAGTATTTCCTTTTTAGGTTCATATTTAGATTTCTGTAAAGTAATGCCTAAAAGGAACTACTATGGGGCCTATGTTATCGAGCTGTAGGTGTTGAGGCGACTTTCTGTCAAAAGCCGAGCCCCAAATCCCTCCACCCAGGCAAACCCCGCATCCCCACATTGGGGCGGTTGTCAAAATTAGGGTCCCTTTTTGGGTCCGTATTCTAACACGGCACTTAATATTTAGGGTACCCAAAAAGGGACCCTAATTTTGACAACCACCCACATCATAAACTGCATTGACAAGCCTGAAATCGAATGCTCTCTGTACAGGACAGAAACGATTGAGTCATAGGGACCCTAAACCCTAAACCCCTAAACCCTAAACGATTGAGTCGTAGGGAAGTCCAGGAAGCAGCCGCTCAGTCAGCCACTGGTTGTCCTTTTCATGCGATTCCGGGGATGATCCTGGAAGTCGGAAGCCAAACACTGCAAACCCTAAACCCTAACCCCTAAACCCTAAACCCTAAACCCTAAACCGCACCATCAGATACATCTTCATCGTCCTCTGGCCCGTCGGCGGGTCCAGGGCACCAGCCGAAGAGTCGGGATGAGGCAAGACAGTGAGCAGCGCTTTGAGTAGGGTCCTGGGGTATGTTGTACGATGACTACAAGAAAGAGCACGAAGAATATGGGAGTTTCCGAAAATTAGGGGTACCTTCTCTTGGGGCCCTTATAATAAGGATCCTACTATTTAGGGTACCATATTAGGGTCCCCTAATTACGGAAGCTCCCATATAGGTCATAATCCAGGCTACTATACTAGGGTAAGTCGGTCGGCTGAGCTTCGATGTCTCAACTTACCTTACGCTTCATCCCAAGACCAAGAGCTATATATGTATATGCACGGAGTGCCGTACCAAAGCATTCTGTTCAATTCACTTCAAGAACACATTCACACGCATGAGGGGATGTTGTAGTTTGTCTTTACGTCTGGTGTGCAATTACCAGTCTCGTAGATCTGGAGGTCTCCTCAAGCTTAGGTTCCTTGCCTAACTTTAAAGGCGAGTCGAGTTGTTAAGAACCCTTCCCATATATAAGTTCTGCACTAGCGCAGCCACTTCCCAATGGCTTTATCTTGCATGGAATCCCATAACCCCCTAGGCCCTAAACCCTAAACCCTAAACCCATAACCCCCTAGGCCCTAAACCCTAAACCCTAAACCCTAAACCCATAACCCCCCTAGGCCCTAAACCCTAAACCCTAAACCCTAAACCCTAAACCCATAACCCCCTAGGCCCTAAACCCTAAACCCTAAACCCATAACCCCCTAGGCCCTAAACCTTACACCCGGAGACGCTTGAAGCACAAAGTAATCTACCCCCGAGCCTGAGACTCCTAGCGTGCCTTTAAAGGGATCTATAGGGTTCCTTTAAAGGGATCTATAGGGTTCTATAACTTATAGCGGTTTAGGGTTTTAGGGCTTTTAGGGTTAAGGATTTTTTAGGGTTTAGGGTTTAGGGATGTTTAGGGTTTAGGGTTTTTAGGGTTAAGGATTTTTTAGGGTTTAGGGATGTTTAGGGGTTAGGGTTTTTAGGGTTTAGGGTTTTTAGGGTTTAGGGTTTAGGGATTTTTAGGGTTTAGGGTTTTTAGGGTTTAGGGTTTAGGGTTTAGGGTTTTTAGGGCTTTAGGGTTTTAGAGTTCAGGGGCTTTGGGTTTTAGGGTTTTAGGGTTTAGGGTTTAGGGTTTAGGGTTTAGGG